TTTCCAAATGTATTCCAGGTCTTTCTACCTTTTTGGTGTGTGTGTTTAGCTATAAAATTTCATTTGAAGACTGTTTATGCAGCACCCCAGAGGCTTTGGTATGTTGTGTCTCTATTTTCAATTCATAATACTTCACATTGTCCTTTTTTACTGTCATTGGTTTTAAGTCATTTTAACTGATATCAGGATATTAACTGTTGCTTTAAAAATGTTTCCATTTTCAAGGTAAACCTTTCTTCATCCCTTTACCTTGAGCCTGTGGGTGTTATTAGATGCAAGATAGGTCTCCTGAAGACAGCAGAGGATTGGTCTTGTTTTTAATCCAGTTGGCCACTCTATGTCTTATACTGGGGCAGTCCATGACGTTAAAGATCAATATTGATATGTGGGGTTTTGTTCTTGTCGTAGTGTTCTTAATTAGTTGTAATCTTAGCTGTGTGTTTGCTTTATAGCTATGTAGGCGAGGTACTTATGTGATTTTTTTTTTTTTTTTTTTGTGGTAGCAAGTACTGTTCTTTCATTTCCATGTTTAGAACCCCCTTATGCATCTCTTGTAGGGCCAGTCTGGTGGTGATGAATTCCCTTAGTTTTTGCTTGTCTGGGGAAGAATTTATTTCTCCCTCATTATGAAGCTTAGTTTGGGAGATAAGAAATTCTTGGTTGACATTTTTTTTTCCTTTTGAATGCTAAAAATGGGCCCCCAATCTCTTCTGATTTTTGCTGAGTAAGATTTGTGTTGAGAGGTCTGCTGTTAGTCTATTGGGTCTGCTCAACAGAAGGTATGTGATCCTTTTCTCTAGCTGTCTTTGAGATTTTTTTCTTTCTCATTGATCTTGGATCATGTGATGGCTATGTGCCTTGGGGATGACCTTGTAGGAGTTCTCTGAATTTCTTGTATTTCCAAGTCAACCTCGGTAGCAAGATTGGGGAATTTTTCCAGAATTATGTCCTCAAATACATTTTCCAAATTGTTTCTATTCTCTTCTCTCTCAAGAATGCTAATTCCATCATAGATTTGGTCTCTTTACAAAATTTCATATTTCCCAAAGGCTTTGTTCATATTTTAAAATTCTTTTTTATTTTTGCCTGACTGCACTGATTTGAAGGACCATTCTTCAAGGCATGCAATTCTTCTGCTTGATCTAGTCTGTTGTTAAGACTTGGAACTGTATTTTGAAATTTCTTAAGTGAATTCTTCAATTCCAGAAGTTCAGTTTTGGCTCTTTCTTGGTAAGAAAGTTTTAGCCATTTTCTTGGCCTCTTTATTTTGGATTTCCATTCTCTCTTGGTTCTCACTGAGTTTTTTTCCCATCTATATTCTGACTTTCATCTCTCATGTCAGACATTTCGCTCATTCATTCTGGTTAGGATTCATAGCTAGGAAGCAGATGTTATCATTTGGCCCTGACTTTTGGTATTGCTAGAGTTCTTGTGCTGGTTCCTTCTCATCTTAGGAAACAAATGCTTTTCTCTTTGAATTTGCTATCATTTTGATGGGGTTTTTTGAGTTTCTCTTCTTTTTCCTCTGTGGGCATGACTATGGTATATGTTATTGTATAGTTGATTGGCTTTGTTTTCTAGTGCTTTTAGAGGGCCACTACCCTAGGCGTGTTTCTTGGTTGCGGGTAGGTCAGCACAATGACTGTCTTGGTCAAGCTTGTTGTGGCTGGTCTCGAACTCCTGAGCTCAAGCAATGCTCCTGCCTTGGCCTTCCAGTGTGCTGGGATTATAGGTGTGAGCTACTGTGCCCAGCCCAGACATATTTCTTTTGTTCCAGGTTTTAAGGAGAAAGCATTCAGTATGATCAGCATAGAAATTATAGCAACTGAATGGGGTTATGAATGGGGATATATAATGGCCTATTCAGTGTCATTAAAGTGAAATAAAGCATTACTAAGATTTTGGATGCCTGAACTCATTGCTGTATGTACTCTGTTGTGGGGACCACATAAAATGTAGGTTCAGTTCGCTGTTTTACGTAATGACATCTTTTGGTCCAATGGGTTTGCCCATAATTGTATTCAGAGGATGGGAGAGAAAGGATTCCACAGCTTTAACATAATTAAATCCTTTTCCTTCATGATAGAAGTCAAAGGTAATGGTGAAAATTTAGAAATCTAAAGATAACAGACTAGGTACATTATTTAGACATATTAAGCAACTATCAGAAGAATCTGTTAAAGCAATTACAAGTGATTGCCTTTGTGAGACTGGACTGAAATGTGTTATAGGTGACTCCTGTTTTTTTTTTTTTTAAATCTTTTAATGCCTCTTTTATTTTTACCCAAATGCACTTCTTGTTTATTATTCTTATATTTAAAAAAGTAGTTTCTACATGTATTTACTCATATATTTTTGAAGAAAATAATGTATGCATTCAATTGCAGTTTATTTTGATTCTATCATAACCATAATCATTCAGTAATACATTTAGAATGATCTACAAGAGATCATGTGTTTAACTTTCACTGCTATATTTTTGAACAAAAATATTGGTCTGATAGCATGCCCAGGAAGCTTGAAAAACATATGAAATCAAAAAATTGTAAATAGGCCAGGCACAGTGGCTCATGCCTGTAATCCTAGCAATTTGGGAGGCTGAGGCAAGAGGACTGCCTGAGTCCAGCATTTTTTGAGACTGGCCTGGACAACATGGTGAGACCTCATCTCTACAATAAATCAAAAAAATTAGCTGAGCATGATGACACATACCCGGAGTCTCAGGATGGTCTGGAAGGAGCCCAGCAGGTTGAGACTGTGGTGGCTGTGAGTGTGCTACTACACTGTAGCCTTGGCAGCAGAGTGAGATTTCGACTCAGAAAAAAAAGAATAATAAAAAGAATTGTAAACAATCTACTTGCCTAATACTAAGAGGCTAATTAGGTAAATAAGTCAATAGTCTAGGCAGAAAAAAGTCTTATGCTGTAAGATTTATTTATTGAAAGTGGAATATGTTGCTGAAACAGTGCTCAATGATAACAGTAGCCTGTGGAACAATAGATAGTGTATAATCTTTATATAAGTACAATATATGTTTTAAAGTACATATACACACATAACATTCTGTATGTATCTATGAAAAATACTTTACATAGAAGTATCAGCTTAATAATAATAATAATTTTGAGGTAGCTTTTTTTTCTGTTGCTTTTCTATGTTTTCCAAGTTTTCTCTGTTGGATGTATAATACTTTGATAATTTTAAGCAAAAAAGGGGGAGGGGGGCACACCCCATCAACAAGGGTACCTTCACGATGAATATTTGCATACCTAACCCTTAACTATACCCCATAATTTTAAAATAAATTAAAAATAAATAAATAAAGCAAAAAAAAAAAGGACATTGATGAGTGCTGTTTCCATGCAAGGTGGATACATTCTTTTTAATGATATCAGTGACTTTGATAAAAATACTTGCATATTCATTTTCACTGCTCTTACCATTTCCCCCTTTAACTTTATTTTCTTTATTATTTTTAATTCTTTTGAGATTTTGTCATTGAATTCGCTTTAATGAGTTACTACTTTGATATTGATGTGAACAAAAGTAGCCTATCTTCATAGTGCTGATTTGTTTTGCTTTACTGGGATTCTTTTCTTGAACAACATTATAGCAAATGAATAAAAACAGAAGTCATGTAAAAATACACCCAGTTTTCTGCCATGTCAACTTACCTGCTTTTGAAAAGGCACCATTCCCTTCCAGCCCTGGGATGTCTAATCTGTAATTTGAATAGACATGCTCAGGACTTGCCTTGTTGCTAGGACATAGAGAAGCTATGTGTAAACCTTCACAACAGGCCTCTCTGCTTCTGACCTAGAGTAGACAATCGAGTCATTTTGGCGGCCCTGAAGCCTGCAGTCTCCTCTGTCACACATTTTCCCTAGTTATCTCCATGGTTAGCTGTCTTACCTCCTCCAGACTCTGTTTAAACACTCAACATTTGCGGTTTTCTTTGACCACTCTACTTAAGATTACTTGTGTATGCCTCATTCTGTGCTCCTTATTCCCTGTTTCGCTTTTATTCTTCTCCATAGCACTTATTATTTGCAAGGCAATTCATTTTAATTATTTCATATCTTGCCTGTCTCTTCCCACTAGAATAAAGCTACATGCAGGTAGGAATTTTCATCTCTTATTTACTGCTCTCTTCTCAGCATTTTGAACAGTGCCTAGCATTTATTAGGCACTTAATGTTTAATAATAATGAGCTCTAACTCTTATAATCCATATTTCACACTGTGCTAGCATGACCCTTCCAGAACTTCCCAGGGAAAGCTAGTGTGGTAGTGCTCTATCACTCTATGAGCTGGCCTCTGTCTTCAGTTGCATGTGTTTTGTCTTTCTTTGTATGCGCATGTGTACATGTTTTCGTCTTGAAGGTAGTCTTTTCTAATTTTTTGCCTCTCTCATTCTTAGTTACCTTTCCCCTGTTACACAGGCTTCCCTGATGTATTCTGCTAAGTTAGGTGTTCTTCGTTGAGTCCCTTGATACTGTGTTATAGGAATTATACGGCATTTCTTGCCTCTGTTTCTTTTTCTAGGCTTAGGTTTTGTGTTTATGGTGCCTAGAACTATGCTTTTAATGGTAGTTCAGTGGATTAATCCCTAATAGCTTTTTCTGTGTTGTTAGAGTACTAATTTTTAACAGGGTATTTCTTGTATTGATTTTGATGTTTATTTTGTGTGAAAAGATATTACTATATTTTAAGATATTTCCTATGATACACACTTAATTGTTCTCCATTACCTTTTACATTTGAAAAACAGTTATTTTAATTTACAAACCCTTTGATGTTATATTACTGTCTTTTATGAATACCACAACTTATGGATTAATAGATTTAGAGGCAGAAGTAAGGAAATCATCTCCTTAAATGAATACTAATCATAGTAGCTGTGTGTAGCTGTTACTATGAGAGGTGGGATTAATTTGTGTTTTAATCTGGATGACCTTCATGAAGTATGAATCAAAAATTTTTTTTTAACTTCTTTTATAGGGAAGTCTTAAGAGTAGCCGACAGATCTCACCTCAGGAATTCATTCATGAGCTGAAGATGGGGTCTGCAGATGAGAGACTTGTCATGTGCCTGGAGTCCCTCCGTGTGTCTTTGACCAGTAATCCTGTGAGGTAATTCATCTATTTGGACATCAGCAGGGCATGTTACTAAATTAAACAGATGCTATTGATCTGTCATTTTAATTTAACACTTTATAAAGCCTTCAAATAAATAGCTGGTATACCTCAACAATTTCTCAGAGTAAAAATTAAATACCTAATATTTAATGCATGAAGAAATATAGTCTCAATAGTACTATTTGCATTTATTACTGAATGATGCATTGCTCATGGACTTTAAAGAAAAATCACTGTTTTTCCCCATATAAGGTGTTTTTTTAAAAGAGAACTATCATAATCAGAAACTATTAATTTAATGACTGAGTTGCACTCTCAATTTTGTTATATGTATATTTGCTGATTCTTATTTGAAATTGTAAGAAACGCCACTAATTAATTTTGTTCTTTGTGTGAAATGGTGTCATTGCAGGACTCCATAGGTTAGTGTTGCTATATTTACCAAATAAAATACAGGATACCCAGTAAAATTGCGTTCAGGCACACTTATACTGGAAAATTTTTTAAATATGAAGTTCAAATTGAAGTGGGTATCATATATCTTATTTGGCAGTAGTACCATAGGTGTGTCTGTAAATCAATTTTTAGACTTTTGGAATGGGGTTACTGTTTAGTGCTTCTAAGAGATAATTGGGTAAAACACTTAAAATTCAATGTAAATGTATTTGGATAAACTGGGTTGGCTTGCTTATCTATCTATCTATCTAATCTGGCTATCATTTATGAGACAGGGTCTCACTGTCACCCAGGCTGTAGTACAGTGGCATAATCCTGGCTCACTACAGCATCAACTTCTGGACTCAAGCAAACCTCCCACCTCAGCCTCCTTAGTATCTGGAACTGCAGGCATGCATCACCATGCCTGGCTAATTTCTTGTAGAGACAAGGTCTCACTATGTTGCCTAGACTAGTCTTGAACTCCTGGGTTCAAGTGATTCTCCCATCCTGGCCTCCCAAAGTGTTGGGATTGCAAATGTGAGCCACTGCACCCGGCCAAACTGAGCATATTTGAACTTGTGATATTATTGTGTGATAGGAGGCAGACTTGTTAAAAATACAAACAAGGTGTACTTAAAGTATATTGTTTATGTTTATTGTGAATCCTGAAGGGAGAGGTTATATGCTAACCCTGAATTAGGTAGGTGGGTAAACCAGAGTATTCTTGAAAAGTTTAAAGCAAAAGTTGTTGCATGAAACATCGGAATAGTTAGAATCAGAGAATTTCAGTGCTGCAAGGGTCTAAAGTAGAACCCTTTGGTTTTTTGTTGTATAAGAAAGAAATGATTATTTCTGCATAACAGTATACATGTATACACATAGGTGTGTGTGTGTGTGTGTGTGTGTCCGTGTGTGTCTGTGTGTGTGTGTATTCTGAATGCTTGAATGGCTTTCTATAATGGGGGTTAATGATGTGGAGAATAATTTATTTGATATTCTCTTTGATTAGTATTTTTTTTTTTTGGGTGTGATGTTTCTGATGTTTGGATATAGTACGAAAAAAATCTTTGATCATACAAATATTTAAAATAGAAAGAGCCTACCTGCTGAGATGTGAGAATAAGTAAGGTTTAACTAAGGAGTATGAAGAATAAACACAGATTCTTTAGGATGTTTCAGTTTTATGTTTATTTTCTCACATTTGGTCACTTCCAGTCTGTTCTCTAGACTGTAGACTAATTGTGGCTATGAATCCAGGGCCTTCATATGCCTTATTTACCTCTCTTTACCATGCATAGTGTTTAGCATGTAGGAAATGCTCAATAAAGATTTGTTGATTGAACCAGTAAGGATTTAATTTTAGCCTTCTTCAGTCTTACCTTGACTACAGTTAGAAACTGAGAATGGATTAGAGAGTTTATCTCACAGGTATATTAATAAATGAAGACCTTTAGTTTCCAGCTTAATCTGTAACTGTAAAATATATTCATTTATAAGATATATATTGAGCACATGTTAGTTTCTAAATGTTAGGTGTGGAGTTTGAGTAAACCAAGCAGGTCTAAACCCTGTTTCTATGGGGTTTGAATGTAGGAAGAGAGTATTTTGGGTTCTAAGGAGGAGAAACTTCATTCATTCTTCAGTTTATCTGTTGGCCACTGGGCACTGGCAATGTCTATAGTTTAAGATAATTTGAAGTAGACGCTTCCTTACTACTATTCTACTCTTCTCCCTCATTTTTCCTTCCCTTTTTTATAATTTGAGAGGATGACTATAATAACAAAAGAAAACAACGTTGAAGGTTTTATGTATGAATCAATACATTTTACAATGCATAGGATAATTTAATGTAATTTTACCTCTAAATACTGTGAAATTGTGCTACATGTCTCTTTTATCTGAATCTTATTTTTTTTAAGAAGCCAAAAACTTGTTTAATTATTTCTCCAAGAATTCTAGAATATATTATTAGGAATCCATGATATTTTCCACGAAGTAGTTCTTTTAGTTGAAAAGAGAGGTAAATCTTATCACTGGAGTAATTTTTTTTTGAAATTATGCCACTTGAAGTAGAGGAAAATTGAGAGGATACTTGAGTTTTTGTTTTTGTTGTTCAGTGTTCCAGTTAGAGGGATGACTTAGCTGGGTGTCTAAAACTTGTAAGGTATGCCTGTGATGAAATCTTTGCACTTTCCTGTTGGTGATGGTATGTCTGCTGACACAGTCAGCTTTTCATATTGTCTTGCTTATATACAGTATGAGGCTAAATTCTTAGAAGGAATTCTCATTTTTCAAAGCCTTTGAGATCATTGTTAGGCCTGTGATACCACTGAGGACGTTAAAAGTTAAAAAGAGTTATAATTTTTAAATGTCTGTGAATAGAATAAAAAAGAAACAAATGAATTGATTAATCTTGGTTTTCCATTGCTGGTTTAGGATCAGGATTTATTTAAATCCAAAATCCAGGAAAAAGGAGACTCCTTCTCCTCCACATGAAGTCTCTCTTCATGTGTATTTTTACAGCAATTTTTTATCTTCTGAAACTGCCTAGCAGTTATGAGTCCTGTCCACCTTTTACTAGTTAGTGAATTCTGGGAAACCTGTACACTAAGTACCAGATCTTTTGCCTTGTTTTATGATGATTTGCTGTGGAGATCACAAAGTTCTCCTGTCTGATGAGATATATTGTCTTGGTGTCAGTTTTGACCTAGTTTTGGGAAAGACAACTTCTTAAAATTATCAAATATTACTTTTAGTGGACCTTGATGTGGTCAGTAATTATATTTGAAATTATGGAATACCTTTGGGTAGAAATATAAGAAGGTAGATACTAGCATCGTTATGATTGATATCAGGCATTGATAGATCATACCTATCTGTGCACATAGCAAATTAGTAATAGAATGCATATTCATTTTGTCAATTTGATTTACCTATAAAGGGCCAGATCTCTGTCACAGAAGCTTCAGTCTTATCAGGTCTTTGTGTTTTGTGATTTTAGACACTATTTTCCTTTAATCACAGTTAAAATTTGCATTTTGAAGTTTCCAACAAATATTTTCTCACTAAAGTTACCTTTTCATTAGAAGATTTCTAAGGAGAGACTGAAACTAGGTTTGATGAAGTTGATAACTATAATTGAGAAAGTCAATTTGAAAAACTTTGCAGACAAGTGTGTGTTTACACTAAAGCAAGTAAAGTTTTGGGTCACTCTAGTGCAGTTTGAAATATGGATGTCATTCCATTTCATCACTGTCATTTTTAGAATCTGATTTTTCTGCATTTCTGGGATTTAACACACAAATCAAGTGGAAGAGCTTGACTTTCAAGTTAATCTATGTTGGGCCATGTGTCACATGTGTGAAGACAGAGATAAGAAAAGCTTGTGGCAAGTAGGGAGATCAGTGTACTCATTGCTGTCAACATGATCTGAAGACCAAAAATTTGCAATTACTAATACTTTGAATTTTCCCATCTAATTTTGTATATGTTAGACCTTTTATAGTATTTTGAAAATTATTTTTCTAAATTATGAAACACATAACAAAAGACTGTCTGTCACAACTGTAAGACAAGAATCCATTGTCTACGATGAGGCCGAAAAGCAGGATATTGCCTATGGAACTTTGAATCTCTACTCTACCCCCTCCCCACTGTTCTGTGCTAACCACTGCCCTGAATTTCGGGTTCATCATTCTTTTTATTTTCATTATAGTCTTTCTATATATGTATTCATAATTAATATGTGGTTTGGTTTTACAGCTTTTTGAACTTAATGTAAATCATTTTCCATGTAGTCTTCTGAGACTTGTATTTTCCTCTCAAAACTATATTTCATATATTTATGCAGCTGTTCACATTCAGCACAGCTAACCATTTTTATACCTTTACTTACATTTTAGAAATATTCATTATAATAGCATTTGAATAATTTAAAAATCCTGTCTGATTATCTTTGGTAGTAAAACATGGTAGTAAAACCTAGTATCAATTGTGAGAATATATTTAAATTTACATTTGGCATTTCATTTTGAATTTTGAACTTATGCTTTTTCCAGGTTCTCCTTCTCTTTTTCTTTCAGATTTTTCCTTTTCTTCCTTTTCCTCTTCCTTCTCCTTAACTTCTTTTGAATAGATTTTAATTTCTAATTTTATTTTTTTTCATTTACTAATTTGGAAGAAAAATGATCTTTTCTGATCTTAGAAGAGAAATTTAACACGCACACACTTAAAAAGAAAATTTAACATGCATATACGTAAAGGGACACAAAAAGGCAATATCTCTTGTCTTTTCTTGAACCAAAGAACACTTCAATATAGTCTACCTCTTTCTTGATTTGTATGCCTGCTTTGAGTAATATTTTAGTGTGTCCTTTTATAAATTAGATATTACTATTATGGAGTTAAACTACAAATATGTATATAGTATATCTGTTTACACACAAAACACATCATTCTTTTTTGGGTTTTGGTATTGTTTTCCTCTGACTATTTTGCTTTTGCTTTAAGTATATTATTAAGATCCCTTAGTGAAAGTGTGATGGTAGATTTTTGTT